CTTCCTGAAGAATGGTTTAGTCACAAGCTGAAAGAAAACAGACTGAAAATGTGACATAAAACACTTGTTTCATTGGTGTCATTTACTTGTCCTTGTAAACAAAAACCATTCTCCCAAAAAGTAGCTTTAAAGCTAAATGTGGTAGCAAAAGCCTGTAACCTAGGAGGGTGAGACAGGTGAATCAGGAATGAAGCAAGTCTGAGCTATGTAGAAAGATTCTGTCTCAAAAACATAAATGCTGAGAGTGGTGGTGCACACCTTTAATCCCAGCCTTTGGGAGGCAGAGGAAGGTGGATTTCTGTGAGATAGGGGCCAGCCTGGTCTACATAGTGAGTTCCAGGTCAACTTGGACTAAGGGGACTGTGTCCAAAATAATAAAATAATAATAATAATAATAATAATAACAATAAAGACATTGAAACACTTAGGCTAGAGATGTTGTTTAATAGTGAAGTGTATAGTTAGTGTTTGTGTGCACATGATGGTACAGGTTTTCTTTTTTGAGACAGGATCTCCCTGTAGCCCCAGCTGACCTGGAACTCTCAGAGATTTGCCTGCCTCTGCCTCCCACATGCTGGGATTAAAGGCGTGTGCCACCACATCCAGCTGGAACAGGTTTTATAGCTGGAGTAGTCTTCTGAAATAATATTGTCAGATTTGTTTGTGTGTGTGTGTGTGTGTGTGTGTGTGTGTGTAACTAAGAAAACTGTTCTCAGGAGGTTGAGCCTACTACACCCGCCCCCAATAGTTTTGTGGCACAGATCTTTAAGTTGGAAAGTTGGGAAGGCTTAAAGGTTCTTGAAAGTTTAATAGTTTTTATTGGAGAGAAAAAATTGTGAAGGAGAATGACTTTAGAAATTGTGCAGAATGAACAGGGATATGCTAACAGTTGAAAAACCCTTGCATAACCAAAGGATTTGTATGTTAGAATATTATTAAGATGGAACCCAGATAACCTGGTATAGTATCAAGATCAGGAACTTGTTTGTAATTACTGTGAGCCACATTTTAAGCATATTATCTTTTCCCTTCTTAGCTTCCCAAAAAATGTTACTTATATTTTTTTAAGAAGTGGTTTATATTTTGACATGTTACTTTGAAACAATTATTAGCTTCCACAATTAGATCATTAATTTCACCCCATATAAAGAACTGAGATACTTATAATTCATCCTCAAAGCCTGGAACTTGGTGGCTAAGATACCACCTAAGTTATTTTTGATTCAACCACAACTTCTTTCTCTAACACATGTAACCTCTCCTGCTCCCTTTAGAAGAACATGAACTTGTCTTTGTTAAAAACACAACAAACCTGCCACCAAAGAATGTTTCTAAAGCAATTGTCCTCCATCAGTAATCTCAATCTTGCATTTAACAACCATTCATTCATTCCCACTTGATTTTCTATTTCTAGTCTTCCATAGACTATATTCTATTCAAGTAACTGTCATCATTTCAAAAATTAAACATTCAAAGTGAAACTTTTTCACATATTTCCTCTCATTCCATTTTTTATCAACATTTCATTCTCTCAATTCTCTTTTTAACTTTCTTTCCTACAGTCCCTATTATAGAGCCACTAAGCCTTTTGTCCCTCCCCAATGTTTGGAGGGCTTGGGCTGGGGATGTAGTTCAGTGGTAGGTCCTAGGTTCAATCCAGCACCATTAAAATTTTAAATTAATTTTTCTAGCAGGGTGTGGTGGCACATGCCTTTAATCCAAGCACTTGAAAGATAAAGGAAGGTGGCTGTTCTACATAGTGAGTTCCACATTAGCTGGGGCTACATCCTTTCTTAAGAAAAAAGCCTTGTTAGTCTCCATTCATCACCTGAATAATTTCCAACAATCAACAAGCTTTGTTCTAAAAATTGGAGTACTTTGTCTAAAGAACGAAAGAATATTTGTGGACAGAGGACAACTTAGAGAAATTGGTTCCCAGGGATCAAAATGGGACTTGGTGGCAAGTGTTTTTATCTGCTGAGTCATCTCCCCAGCTCTAAGTTTGCTTGATAGAGCTAGATTAGATGACTGATAGATAAATAGATATATAGATATATAGATTGATAGATAGATGATAGATAGATAGATAGATAGATGATAATGATAGAATGAATAGAAAGATTTCTTTTGCTAACTTGCATGTTTAAGCTAAGAAATGGAATCATCAGTTTGAAATATCAATTATTTAGTCCTGGAGGTTCTCCCAAGTACCTTTGAACACTGTCCAAAAAAGTATTTGGGGGAGGGGGGAATGTGGAGGCTGTGAAGGAGTCAGAAGAGGACTTGTAGGAACTGGTTCACACTCTCCCAGGGATCAAGCACTTTTACCTGTTGAGTCATCTCCCCAGCTCTAAATTTGCTATATATAAATATATTTTGCAGTCATCAGTTTGATGTGCCTATGAACATTGTCCAAAAAAAACTGGGGATGGGAGGAGTGGAGGCAGCAAATAAACAAGATACAAGGATATATGTATGAAAATATACTGAGACCCATTACTTTGTCTGATAAAAAAAATAATAAAAGCAAGTTTTTTAGGTAAATTACAGATATCTTTCTGCTGTTCTCCATCCAAGGATTCTCCCCTTCACATATCATAAATGTCTTCCCTACCACCATCTCCTTAACTAGGCACAGCTAATTATAGGGAGCAAGATAAAAAAACAGGAGCTTTCTGACACCTTGCTAATTTCTGTGAGGCCCACTCCATTTTAAATGAATTCTGAGACTTCCCTATAGCCTTTTAACAAATCCTTTACTTAAGCTAGCTCTAGCTTATGACTGCTCCCTGCGGCAAAACAAACCCTAAAACAGCAGGCATTTGAGAGGTAGAAAACTATGAGCTCCTCAAGGTGGAGACAATCTTACCTATCTCTGTATCCTTAGTGCCAGGAAAATAGGAGCTATTCAAATTCATCTGTTGTCTAGCTTTCAACAATATTGTTAGGTGGAGGCTTAACATAAGCTGTGTCAATTCAACCAATCAAGCAGCTTTGTTCTAAAAGAAGCAGCAAAAAAGCAAATAATTCCAAGGGAAACAATCTTATTTTCTAGATGAAATTATCTACGAATTTAACCAACTTCAAACCCCTACCAATTTACAGCTACTAAAGCATAGTTCTAACCATTCAAGTTAGTCACATTACTACAACTCTACCCATCTTTTGTGACATCAGATGTCTCTGTGTAAACTCAAGAGCAAAATTACATCTATTAGTGTGTGAAACAAGAAAACAAAATTATCAGAACAGTGCATCTTCTTCATCTACATTCTTTTTGTGAATCTATAAAGAATCAAAGCTATATTTTCACTTTCGTGACACTTCCCAAATGGTTGCTTCCACCTCACGCTTGTCTTGCTAAACACCACCGACTTTATTCGTACACAATTGAGAAAAAAATGGAGAAACATATTTAACTTTTAAATTTAAGTTTTAAAATAATTTATTAGGCTAATTTTAAGTTTTACATAGAAATTATGTTTTAAGATATTCTTTGAAGCTGGGTGTAGTGTGGCACAAGTCTATTATAATCCCAGCTCTGAAGAAGGAGGCAGTGGCAGAGGCAGAAGATTGCCGCTGAAAGTTTGAAACCAAGTCTACACAGAAAATTCCAGGTCAGACAGGACTATATAACAAGATCCTGTCAAAAAATAAAATAAAATATTCTTTGAAAACAAGTTAACATAATTTCTAAAAAAAGTTCTGGCATAGATAAAATGTTTAACAATGTAATTATATGAACTTAAAAACTATCTTACAGTGTTGGGTGGCTCAGCAGGTAAAAGTGACGGCTGCACAAGCTTGAGACCTGAGAGAACCAACCAATTTCTGAAAGCTGTCCTCTGACTTCCATGCTTGCCATGGCATGCAGAGGCCTGCACTCACAAATGAATCATACATACCCACACTAGTAATTTCTTACACATACAATAATAGTTTTTACAATTATATTATAAATGCTATAAATCAAAACAAATTCAATCCCATTGTCAGCTTTCTGTCACAGGCTCAGACCTTAAAGACAACAACCAAATTGGTGATTGATACAGACGTGATTTCTCAATAATACTTCAAGACTGAAAGTGCTTCCTTTGGATTAACTCTAAATTAAGCAAACTAAGTTACTAGGAATTGCTCTTATTTCCCAGGTGAAAAAGTAAAAGAGGTATGAATTATTTTGTTTCTTATTTTCTTTTTCTCTCCTTTTTTCCTTTTGGGAGAGTAGGGGAAGGCAGGATTGGGGACTAAACCTAGGGCCTCATGTATGTGAGGCAAGTGCTGTACCAATGAACCCCAGCCCCAAACCTTTTAACATTTTAATTCAACATACAACACAATGTGCTTCATCATGACATTTTCATACATATGTTCATTATACTTGGTTCTAATTCATCCCACTCTCCTATTGCCCTTCCCCTTCCCCTCTCTGGCTAGGCTAGGTCCTTTCCCCTCATATTACAAGTATTCTATTACCCTTCCCTCAACCCTTGTTTCTCATTTTCTTACACGCAGATTTCACATTCAGTTTTAAAAGTATGAAAAAAAATGTTTAAATGATAGATAAGTAGCTGATTATTTACCAATTAAGTCATTATAATGCAAGTCATTATTCATTAAGACAGAAGGTCTGTTTTGATACCTTAGACAACATATCAAAAAACTACTTAGGGACTGGGGATATAGCTTGGTGGGTAGAGTGCTTGCTCAGCATGTATGAAGCCCTGGGTTCAGTCCTTAGCACCACATAAACCAGATCTGGTACAGCACATCTGTAATCCCAGCCCTTGGCAAGTGGAGGCAGAAGGGTCACAAGTTCATGGTCACCCTAGGCTACAAAGCATGTTCAAACTAGTCTGGGATACATGAGATCCTGCCTCAAAAACAAAGACCTTAAATATTTTGGATAATAGCAAAATGAGATTTTACCCAATAACATGAAAATGGCTTTCTTAAACTATCTAAAATAAACTGTCCAAGAAGGGAAAAAATAACTGATTTTGTATCAAATGAAATATAACTAAGGTTTTCCTGATTCTAATTTAAGAAGCTTCCTAGTTAATGAACATTAGTAAAAAGTTTTCATATCCTTAAAAGATACATATAAGGGCCAAGTGTGATGGTGCATGCCTTTAATCCCAGCACTCGGGAGGGAGAGACAGGCGGATCTCTGTGAGTTCAAGGCCAGCCTGGTCTACATAGTTCCAGGCCAGGTGGGGCTACAGGGAGGTCCTGTCTCAAAAAGACAAAAACAAAAACAAAAAAATACAAATAAGATCTACTTAATTTAGTCCTGGTCACCATCATTTGATTTTTAACATAGCACTTAGCCTATTAGTTCACAGTAACAATTTCTTTACCTCATAAAATGGTTAATATTTCCTCTATAAAATACTTAGTTTAATAGCAATAGGTAGATTTTTAGTTAAATACTATCTACTTCAAATTTAATATAGAAAGCAATTTTCAACCACAAATATTGCTCTTCCACATTAAGTAAATATTTAGGTAATAAGGTTCCTCCCAGTATTTCTACACCACAAAACAGACAATAAATTTGAGCCACTTCAACTCTTGAACTCAGAACAAAAGCTTGCATACAGCAATGTTTGAACAAGATAGGTCCACCTTATTATTTGGGCAGTAACTCAAAAAGTTATTTATTTTTTATCTTTTATTTTTATTTATTATTTTTATTTTATGTGTACAAGTGTATTGCCTGCATGTAGGTAAGTGCACCCATGTCATGCAATGCCCGCAGAGGACAGAAGAGGCCGTCAGATCCCCTGGAACTGGAGTTATGGTCAGTTGTTAGCTGCCATGTGGGTGCTGGGATTTGAACCCCAGTCTTCTGCAAGAACAACCAGTGTTCTTAACCACTGAGCCATTTCTCAGTCCCTCAAAAAGTTATTTTGCTAAAAAGTAAAAATAATTCTATATGCAATAGTAAAAAGTTTCATAGAACATACACGTTTAACATTTACTCTGACACAGTCTGATTACCCTATTTTGAAATATAGGTTCACTTAAACAAAAGCTTTAAATTTAACTGATCACCTATCATCTGCAAAGAGTAAATCCTATTGATATAAAAGCTATTATACTTTATTAAAATATTTTAAAATAACATACCAACTTAAGAAGACTGCATGTTAATAGTCCCTAATCAATTTTAACAGCTCTTCAAAATTCTTCACTGTTCTTGAACTACAGTGATTTTTAAGAAAATAGAAGTTTTACATAGCAAATATTTTACATAAGTTTAATATGCATGACTACTTCAAAATTAAGTGAACATTTTATAAATTTAAATGCTATTATGGTAGTACAAATCATGTTCCAGTATTAACTGCCAGAAAAGCTGAGCTGCTGAGATTTTCAAAATATATTTAAAAATAAAACTACAGGTTTAGGAGACTAATACACAAAAATGAGCACAATATTCCTACAAATTAAGGTGCTAACTTAAGAAATAAGTTCCTTATGATCTATAAGGTATATAATGAAGATTCTCTGCCTTGAAGAAGTGAGGAAGTCAGACAAGCCAAAATTGTAAGAGCGTTACCAATAACTATAACCACCATTAACAGCAATTACTATCACTATGACTATATAGTTGAAGGTAAATGGAAATAGGTAAAAGTTCTCAAATAAGGATTAAAGAGAGCCTTTATACTGACATACCAAGTACAATCAAAATGTAGTCTCTAAAAATAAAATTTACTCTCTAATTACATTATAGCTTTTCTACAAATCACTTAAACAGATGTAAACAAGTAATCCCTCAAACTCAGCTTTCCTAAGAACAAAGACTAGTTTCCTCCCAAGAGACCAAATGTTTCAAAACTCTCTTGGAACAGAAATTACAGTCTTTAATAAATTTGCTTCCTCCAGCTTAATTTAAAATATGTACATTCAATTGATTTTTTTAAAAAGCCAATTATATTAGTTATAAAGTATCTGTTTAAAAAAAGTGTAACACTTAAAAAAAAAAACATTGTTTTACAGGAATCAAAACAATAGTAAGTTTCAAATACCAGCAGGCTGAAAGTACCAACCTTCTTCTGAACCAGAAATCTTAACCATGGAGCCCATAAAATATATCCAGGATCTAAACTCATAATCAAGAGTATTACGTAAATGAATTAACTCCAAATTCCTATACAAATGCTTCTACTACCCACATTTCATTATGTAACATTTCAAAGATTCTAAGTAAGGTTGTATGCTTGCTTAGTTTTCAAAGATGAAGCTCAGTGGTATGTAAAATTGCCTAATCCCGTTATTCTATAATTATTTTGTAGAACACAACCTTATCAGCTAGCTCATATACTCACAATATGAAGGACATCCTGATCTAAGATTTATACAATGGAGAAAGAGGCTCATGAAAGGGTGTGAGCTCTCCAACCTTTTTAAGTATTACTGGATTGAAAGGCACTCATCTTTCAGTTGGTGCACAATCAGAATGGTCATTAAATCCCATTAATGGCCCACTCATATCTTACTGCTTAGTTCAGCCTAAAAAGAAGATAGACCTCCTACTATGCAAATGAATAACAATCATTCACACTTTTGAAAATACAGTTAAATGACACCTGACATTTAATTTTCTGTCTCAGTCTATATAAGATTTTGACAATGGCATAAAATGGATTCAAGACCCCATTATGCTATGCTTTTATTTAAAGTCTATTAAAACAGACAAATTCCACAGCCCCATAATAGGTAAATGGGCATGGGGGAAAGGGGTAGGGAGGGGAAATCAAGACCAAAGCCTTACTTTTTACTTACATAATGATGATTGTGTGAAACAAGACAAATTTAAAAGGCAGCAAAGCTTGGAACTTTACCAAATAGACACTGGAAATTCTTTAAGAAAGCTTTATCTACATGAGAAACAGATGCAAAATATAATGGGAAGAAAAGCATCCCTACACCCAATGAAGTAACAGGTTCAGGCTTGTTTGTACAGCTCCCTAAAATTTACTCTGAAACAGAATATAAAAATTAAAATGTGCAAAATTGGTTAAGAGTTGCAGGGGAAATATTTTACTTAAGGATTAAAATTCTCAATCATACAAAATAGGCTACACTTACAAAAGTTAAATTTACTTTAACATTAGATTAAAAGATGACTGATTTAAATCAAATGTAAACTATTATCTGTACCTAAATAAAAATTTTTTAATGTTTAAGAGGCAATTCACCACTGAAATTTCAAGGGTATTTGAGTGTTTTTATTTTTTTTCAAGTGTTTTATTTGCCTTTCAAGAAAAACCAATGAAATTAATCAACTAAAACAGCATTGTCATCTGCAATTAAGATCAATACATTTTTGCTTGGGAAAGAAAAAAAAAAGCCCAGTGTTTTTCATGTAAACATAATAAGCCTGTAATATGCTGCAGACAAACGCACTGCATGGGGTGTGGAGGACCCGAGCTGATTAGATTACCACAACATCAGCCTGGGGCCGCCATTTTTAGAATCTGTAAAGGACAAAAGAGGGAAATTACAGTTTTTACTCTCCATCTGAGAAATTAAAGGGAAAAAGGGATATTTTTCAATTAGGTATTGATATCTCCAACCTAGAACTGAATGCACCTCGCTTAATTCTCTCCAAGGTCTCCAAAACTCCAAACACCTTGCATTATCCAGCTCTCTAAAGGGTGAATAGAATAGGCAACACGGAGGTTTCCTCTAGGACTAACTCTGGTGATTTCTCTCTGACTTTAAATTCTATCATTCTTGAGAGTCCAGCTAGGGCGGTTCTAGGAGAAACTAAGGCCAGTGGAAGCAAGTACCCGGGATTGTTTTTTCTCTCCCTCCTTCCCCGTTTAGTACAGGGAACCGTTTGTTTCTCATCTGTGTCTGCTGCCACCGCGTTGGTGCCAATCCTTCGGTCAAAATAAGCTTTTCTGAAATGAGCCATATTGTGGATTCTAAAGGCTCTGGCACAGTGAAGGACGGCAGTAACGCAAAAGGAGTGGGGGAGGAGACTGGAAAGGCTGGGTACTGACTGGGGTGACCACCTTAGGGGCGGGTTTACCCTCTCCAGAAGATGAGGAGCTGTCTCTCCCCTACAAAGAGGGATGCCCAGGGCGTCCTTTTAACCCCCTTCGTATTTACGAGACCATTATGTCAGAGAGTGGCAAGAAGAAAGGGAAGAGAAAATGGGGCCTCTACGTTTTTTCAGCACCCGAACCAGATGCAGCTGAGAAGCAGGCGCTGGCAGTTCCCGGGACCTCCCGGACGCAAGCCCAGGCAGTCGCCAGCCTCCCTCCTCACCCCGGCCGCCTGCAGCCGCGGCCAGGGAGGAGGGCGCCCCCTCCCTAACTCCCACTCTCAAGGGGTTTAACTGCCAGTTTCCCCTTCCAGTACCCCAAAACCCGCCATAATGCTCCACTGCCAGGAACAGGCAAGAGAAAGGGCAAAGGAGATTTCTACCAGCGACGTCCCGCCCGGCACAGGCACGAAGAACCAGGGTGGACGCCCGGGTGCCGAGGCGCAGGGCGAGCCCCCTCCCCGTGAGCCCCAAGTCCCCCACCAGCGGACCCCACGACTCCCACAGCCACGACAGCCACTGACCTGTGATGTTCACACACCAGACACCCGAACCCCGTTATCGGCTCGACCCGGGAAGAGTGTGTCCACGCCTCGGCGCTCGGACGACCCCCGACACCAGCCACTGCGGACACAGGACCCGGCTCCACACACCCCCTCCCCAAGCAGCAGCGCGCAGCCTCTTCAGGAAGCGGAGTCCGGGAGGGGGCTCCTGGGCCGGCGACACGAACGCTGAGGAGACGGCGAGGCTGCTCCGAGTGTCTATGCCCCCTCGGTCGCCGCTCCCGAACTCAAGCTCGATCTGCGACTCGGCCCCCTGCGCCCGCTCAGTGTCACTGCTTCTCGCTCTGGGAAAATGGCGGCGACGGCGGCGGCGGCGGCGGCAGCGACGGCGGCGGCGGCGGCGGCGTGCGCAGTGCCTTCTGGGAACGGAATCCCCAGGGCTGCCCCTGGCCCCCATGGCGCATGCGCGGGAGGCCGCTCGGTGATCCGCGGCGGCGGC